AACCGCTTTGGGGTTAAATCGCGGCAACCCGGCTTTATTCCCAGCCTAAGTTTTCAAATGAAGCAGGCGAGCCGTGCGGCTTTGGAAGCTGCTGGAAATTACGGCTGAAACCTCAGAAACTGAGGCGGGAGAACGTCCTCGTGTGTGGGCGCCAGTTCGGGCCATGAAAAGTTCCTTGTACAACTGCGATTAATGTCAAATTCCTCCGTTTGTGTCGCGAGCGTAGCTGTATATTATTATTTTTTCTTTTAACGTGCGTCGCCGCTACTTAATTTATCGGAGACACCGGTCAAACCGTACCTGCAGATGTCATGTTTCAGGTTTTCTTCTTTGCTACTGTGTAGGGAAAAAAAAAAACCAAACCCAAACAAAACCAACCCAACAACCCCCCCCCTCCCCAAAAAAAAACAAAACCCAACCATAATCAGTTGCCCAGAAAAATGGTGTGTGAAATCTCTCCCCGCTGGCTTTCCAGCCGTGATTCGCAAGGGCACGGCTTGGCGTCGGGCTCGGGGCTGTGCAAGCATCTCTCCAACTGGTTTTTATTTTAACTTTTTATTTATTTTTTATTTTATAACCGAACTCCTCCTCTTTCCAGTTCCTTTAGAAACCAGCGCGAAAGCGGAAGAGACGTCTCCTGCGGAGGTTGCCCGGAGCGATGAACGCGACGGCGATTTGGGGGCAGAAAGAGGGGTTTCCAGCTCGCCTCCCCCCAAACGGCACATGGATGCAGCTGCAACGGAAAAAGCCTGGAATGCCGCCGCTCCCCCCGAAGCCCCCATCATCCTCAGCCCCCCGCAGACGCCGAAACCGGCCACGTACAACCTGGTGTGGCGGTCGGGGAGGGACGGGGGTTCGCCCGTCAACGCCTATTTCGTGAAATACCGCAAGGTAACGTTTCTCCGTCGCGGCGAAGCAGACGGATTGCGTTGTTTGAGGTTTCTCAAGGAACCGCTCATGATTGCGGTTAACGAGGACGCGGTGTCAGGCCGGAGAGAGAATATAGGGGAACCGCAACGTCGCCGTGGGCGCGCAGGCAGCTCGTTTTAGGGATGACGGAAGCTGGTCGCAAATACGCTCTTCTGTCTGGTTCTAAGTGAGATTTCTTCAGCAGAGCCCGAGCTTTTATTTCCTTTACGGTATCGTTGTGGTCTGTGGGGACGGGGGGCTCCAGGGCGCGTTGTACGCAACTTCGGTGATGTTAAAAACGCGCTCGTGTGGGTTTGAGTCGGGCGAGTACGTTTGAGATCGGAAGGGAAGCCCGGCATTAGCCTGATACGCCAAAGAGTTCGCTGCTCCGCGTCCCAAAGAGACGCTGTTAAACTGAAATTACCAAATACAAAAGTCAACTAAAATTTCCGAAGCGGGTACCTGTCGCGTCCCGAAAACCAGCGTGCCAACAGGGAGTTCTTGTGTCAAATCAGAACCAAGCGACGCCTCTGCCCCTTCTTCCAAGCAACCGGTTTGCTGCGTGGCAAAGCTGTTTGGTTTATTCCTCATAAGCTTTTTAATCCTCTACGTCCTGATCTTGTCTGAGCCTGGAGGGAACGCTTCGATTGATTGATTGATTTATTTATTTTGACCTGTTAGTTCCCGAAAACCCCAGTGCCAAAGTCCGTTGATACGAATTTCTCGTCCAAAGGCGGTTGGTTCGCGTAAGCACGGAAAGCTTCGAATACTTTTTGATGCTCACCCTTCGCTCAGAACGATCCTTTCCACGTTAAATGTGCTCGCTCGGGCATTTCTTGGCAGGGAGCGCGCCGCGGGTTTTTTTAGGGCGGTGTTCTCTTTGTGTCAGTAAATGATTTTATTGATTTCCCTCTTTTAAAGGGGGTGGTGG